TTACTCTATGTGTTTTTCACAGTTCCACAGAATTTTCATTTACCACAGCCGCCAACAAAACAGGCTTAACTTTTGTTCAAAACCTGTTGTTGTTTCAGGTCTAATCTTCTATTTTGTGATCTTTTTAAAACAGACCCTTTAAAAAACCTGCCTGAAACAATATTGGTCCCTCTGCTCTCTGCGATCTGAATGCTCATTTTATAAGAAAAGAAATAGCATAATGAGGTTTATTATTCTTAAGGTTAAGGAAGGAAAAGTGTCAGAAGAGAATACTTCTGAGACAATGCTGCAGAAAAGTAGTAAATTAGGAGAAATTATGATGACTGTTTAGCAACGAAGAACAGGAGAATGAAAGCAAGCAATAAAATAGAGGAAAAAATGTGACTACAAGAGCCTTTCTCTGCCCTCTTGGTCTGAAATAACAGACAAATGCAGAGAATAATTCAGGCAACAGGGAGGACGTACACAGAAAAAATCAATGGAAAACTGGAAAAGAACAGTCACAAATCACATTTAAAGCTTTGTTTTTGCAGATGCACAAAACAGAGAATGTTACCAAAATGAGCATACATATTGTGCTTTTCATTTACCAAATTAATGTCACTAATATTTTTAAAAATCCAACTAGCATCTTTTATTTTTCAGAAGCCCATTTGCTCATCTTCCTGCCTCTGGGGTAGTGTTATAATGATTTGGAGTACTTCCAAACATAATACCACAATGTCAGTCTGAAATTTAATGCCTCATGAGAAATAACGTCCAAGTTATGTTTCCAGCATGCTATAGGGAGCTCACCCTGAGTAAAAATAATCAGACACGTCAGAAAATCTTTCAGTGTCTTAATCTTTCCTACAAGGAAAAAATAAGTCCATAATTGTATTTGTGTTATGTCATAGGCTGTTGAGCAAAATTATCTATGCACTCAGAATAACTGTGCTTCAATTCAACCTAAATACATTACTTCTACACCAACAGAGAACATTCAGCCTCTTAATATCCTACATGGCCATCTCAAAATGCTCTTCAGAGCCCACCTTGCTCTTGATCAACTTTCCAGACTTTTACTTCCTTTGAACATTCTCACGGGTGCTCCTCACTCCTGCTTTGACTAGACCACTTCCTTAGGCTTAATAAAGATAGAAAGTTCCCCATTCTGACAGGGAATGACCAAAGTACATATTTCCAGGTAAAAGGAGGTTGCCCACAACACTCAATATAGGAGGAGGTGTTATTCTTCACTGTTCGAAATTCATGTGTATTAACTTTCTTAAAACAGTGCCAGTCACAAAATAGACAAAAAACACAGGGCACTTATAATAAGGAAATTCATAGGGAGAATATATGAAATAATGTTTGCATTAAGCAAAACCACTATGGAGCAAAATAGTTACTATCAGTCTGGCATTTGTGTCACTGTATTCCCCATCATTTGTGTATTCAACCTCACTACTGGAAACAGACTTTTCTTCTGTTTCACTTCTGACTTTGGTTTGCCATTAGTTGACCACAGTGTTACTAAAGCTCATTTTGTTGCATTTGGAGCACAGGTATCTTGGCACGGCACACCCAAAGATGTTTGAGTGATAGCTATTACTACAATTTTTATTCTTTTTTATAAGGTATATTGTTAATCTTTTCAGAAAGAGGAATTAAAAGAAATGGAGGAAGAATGCATTCCCTCTACTAAACCCATATAAACTCACCAAGTTTTTTGTTATGCCAAGATACAGAAAGTGTAGAAAATGCCTCAATAGGAAACCAGCACCAGTGCTCTGATTCATAGATTATAGCAACCCACATTTCCCACAGCAGGCAGCCAAGTACATGTTACAGTTTCCATCTATTAACAAAACTCTTTAAGTACCCAAGTCCCTAGGCACTCCTCTGGAGATTATAAAGGAAAACTGAATTTCAGTCTTTCTCCTCCCTACATTTTTCTCTTTCCTCATCACCTCTGTAATGGGAATGAGGCAAGGAAATTACTACAACAAAACCAGATCAGACAACTCTCAACTGGTTTGGAAGCATTTTCCACTGACAGAGCACAGAATGGTTATTGCTACAACATTACACTGCAAAAGAAAGCCTATAATAAAAGTAATTGTCAACAATCCAGAAAGTTACAGACCTCCTGGTTCAGGATTAATGATCAGCCTGCTGGCAGTGTTTGGTTCAGTTGTTAGCGTCACTGAACTTGTATGCACAGAGCCATAAATCCACCTGCAACGGCCACTGCTTTCAGCATCAGTACCGCTGCTATGACAGGGACACAACAGGTCAGATGGGTTTGGTCTGAAGCTTTACTGTCAATTCAAATGGTAAAATCTACATTTCACATTCTTGCACATTGTAAGTGTTAATTCAAGACATTTCACAAAACTCTCCTTAGACTGATGCTGGTTTTGATCACTTTAAGGGAACTTTTTCTATTATTTAAATAGAAGAAATTCCCATTACTACCCAATTTTCTAAATTACTGAGCTATCCAGAACAACCACTTTTTTTTACACTGATTAATTTATTTCTTTGCACTGACTTTTTAAACCTGATTTATACTTTTTTGTATCACATTACCTAGAAAGACCAAAACGCTAGGAAATTTTAACTGAATCTGCTCTAGAAATTAACAATTTTCTTTCTGAATCATGTTCTATACCATGCTATTGTGTTAAATATAATCTCTAACAAACAGGAATTACTGTTACCAACTATAACTAAAAATATACAACATATCTGTTTTTTTTTTTTTTTTTTTTTTTTTTTTTTTTGTGTTAAGCAGGAGGCACCCCAAACAAGTATCACTGTGTGATGGACCCTACAATGGATTTAAAATAAATCTGACATTTTTAGAAAGCAGTTTATAGGCTGGATGAGAATACCTTTGAAATAAGTTATTTACCAGACAAATCATCATTTATTTCCTGAAGGTGAATCTGCTGCTTATCAGAAATGGCAAGATGCAAAACTGCTGCTCATCTGAAGTTCCCATTTTTACATATGAAAACATATTTAAATAATCACACACATTTTTATTCACCTAAGAATTCCAGCCTGCTATATCAAAATGTAACCTAATAAAATCTAAATGCAAATCTAATAAAACAGAAAGAATGCCATATATCTGTAGTTGGAGTTAGCTGGTTTGTAAGAGGAACAAAATGCCAAGGAAGAGATGGATAAGAAGGGACGTCATCATAAAAAAAGCCTTCTGATACAGCTCAAGTGCAGAGGGTATAATTATGGACTGACTATGATTCCTTGACAACCTATTTCACAGTAGCAGCTTTCAGTGGGTTTATAATCACAGATAATGCACAGATTTATAATAACGAGGTGCCAACGTGTGGACGAAGAGGATTGCAGACCATTATCTTCCCAGACATTTTCATGGCATGTGCCAAGAGCAGAGAAACGTGAGCAATGTCTGTTAAAGAGGCAGCATAACTTAGTCAAGCTCTTTGATAGAGGACTAAATGCTGGTTCTCAAAAGGCTGGAGCATAGAAATACTGACACATTTCACAAGCAGGAACATTAACCACAAAATCTATATGATCAAAGAAAAAAGGAGGGAGAGTGCTCTGTGTTTCAGTCCTATACCAGACAGCTAATTCTGACCTCTACACTTCCTTTCTTGCTATACAGTGATACCTGTAAAACCAAGGAGACCTCAAATGCCTCAAAGGTTCTGATTCTATATCAATCTTAAATAAGGCCATAGCAGAGTGTTGGGACTGGTCCTTTGGTCCACCTGTGCTTGCATGACAGAGGCATGAACATTTCCAACCTGAAGAGGACAGTGAGAACAAGACAGACAACTCTACAGCCACATTAATCAAGGCAAATGAGATCCCAGAGCAAAACTCAGTCTGCATGCCTCACAAAAGGAGAGTACACTCTCCTGCAGAACATAGAACCAGTGATCTTAATCTAAATGAGCACTAATATCTCCATGTGTTCTATTAATTCATACAATGCTTTGTTTCTAGAGGTAATAGTTTTGGGGATTGAAGATTTTTTCCTATAAAACAGTTATTAAGGAACCAACAATCACTCCTGAAAGACTAGCAATGTGAGATCCAGTTTTATAATGATATTCTGCTTTCTGAAATTATATTTCAATTTTAATTACATACAGAAAGATTACTAATTTTTTGCTTCTGTCTCTGTACTAATAATGTATATCAACAGCTGCTGTATAAAAATTATAAATAGGCCATGAGTTAGCAATTCCTATTTATATCTCAGGAAAGTGTTTTGGAAATTAAGGACGTTTAAGTGTCATTCAGTCATTCTTCTGTAAAACTTCCTTTTTAATTGAAATCACAGAGATCTTCTAGATAGATTGAATCAGCTGAATACATGAGCAAAACGCAAACCTGGAAATGAAAAACATCTGGGCATCAGTAGTCACTCTAAATTTTGACTCTGTGAAATGCTTGAATCTATTGAACCAAAACACTTTTAATCATTTTTTTTTTCTCATGCTCTCTCCTAATCATTCCCATCTAACATGATTGGAATGTTCCCTATGGCCTATTATCAATTCCCTAGATCCCTTTTTAGTAAATTTGATTTGGGTGTCCCAGACTATTTTGTGTTTTTCTATCACTCTTTTTCATTAAAAAAACCACCAGAAGCAAAAATTGCCTTACTGTTCAGTGCTATATTACCACAAACTCACTATCAGTGCCTGACAGGTAAATAATCCTACGAATTAGCATCTTCACTTATTTTAGATGCAAATCCATCTTCCTGGTAGATTTGTTATGCAGACGTGGTCCATTTAGCAAGTGATAGACAGAATTTTATTCCTCAGCAAAAAAAGTGGCTGCTTCCCAACTTTAAAAAAAGTTTATTGACATCAGAAACAGGGTTAGAATTATCCTCAAGATTCATCCTAATCTTTCAATGAATTTGAAATCCTCCTTAGTTCCAGTTTGATGATTTTACAGGACAAACTTCCAAAGATATTTAAAAAAATAAGAGAGGGAAACCATACCTTGGTGCTTGTCACTTGAAATGGAACTTTTGAGCCCTTTGTAGCTGGAGGTGTCAGCTTCTCAGCTGGTTTTGAAGGGATTAGGTTGGGAGCAGGAGGCCGACTGTGCAGCACGGAAGAGAGGCAAAGCTGCACGGTCTCCTTCAGAGCTTTCAGCTGTGACTCCTGGGGAAAAGCAGAAATCATCAGCTCTCTGAACTATGTTATGACAAACAGAACTGCTTGCTTTAAACCAATCCTGAGCAGTTGCTTCTTTTTCTTATTAATGGAAGAAATCAATGCTCTTTAAAGCATTTTTTTTATATGATTACTTTACTCTGCATAGCACACCAGATGGATTAGGAAGTCACTGCACTCTTCACTTTCCTTCATGCCAATCTCATGCTATCAATCCACATTATTTAAATAATTTTAAATTATTTTTTTCTGAGGAGAGACAAAAGGACAATGTACCAAATATCACACAGTGTCAAAATTTTTACCTATAATAGTTACAGAGAAGTAAATGCTCACAAGTATTCCAAAGACACAGTTTGTATGGAGTTTTGTTTATAACGTTTAGAATAATTTGTATTTTTTCCACAGGTTATAAAGATTGATTTTAATCCAACAAAGCTGACTTCCCTCATGAGCATATTATGCTGCTGCAGTGTATAGTAATCAAACCATAGGTCTTTTCATCTGTTAAAAATATGATCGTTCAGATCCATTACTGTCCATCAAGGTGAACTAAAACTTTTAAGTGATGAACTGCTTGCAACTTATGTTAGACCAAACACACAAAATTGAATGTTTTTGCCTTAAGATGTGTGCAGTGAAGAGGAATGCTAGCTTATCATCAAAGAGGACAGCCCTTTGTACGAATCACTTATTAAAAAGTATGAACCTTGAGTCAGACTGGTATGTCTATGGCCTAATGGCAGTGTGAAAGGGAAAGGATTACTTCAGCCATCAGACTCAGGGATCTTTCCATTTCTAATTGAGAACAGACCTTAGCATACTTCTTTTCATGCAGCATGTCTTTTCTTCTACTGTTTCAAGAACTGACTGCACAGAGAACATAAATCACCATTTGACATCATCAAAATCAGCTCAGACACCAAACTGGCAGAGGTAGCATGCTGCTTAATTTTACTTTAAGATACGGGCTCAGCCATCATAGAACTACATGACTCCAGTGCTCCCTGCAAATCACACAGACCTGAGAACACACTCCTCCCATCCAGAAATCCCTCTAGAGAATTTCTTATCCTCTTATCTCCCACCCCTGTCATCCAGTGCTTTTTCTGCCTTGCCAGGGCCAGCCTCTTTGCCATTGCAGAGGTAAAAGCAGAGTAGGTTAATTTGTTTTCATCCTATCGGTAGCAAAATTCTATTTGACTTTACTGATAGGAGATGTGTAAATGGGCAGCACGAGAGTACAACTTAAGGGAACCAGGGATGCCATTTGACAAAGTTCTTGATAATCTTTCATAGATGTAATTGTGGTCAAACTGGTCTGCTTGCTGGCCAAAATACTGATGATATATGACACGTTTTCAGGTTTCCCAGAACTGTTTATACTCTTGTCACGTGGTTGGATTCAATATAGAATAATTGGGCTGTGGTAATGCAAAATCTGTCAGTCTTCCAAGGGTCCATCACAAGAACTAGGAAAGTGTTGTAGTGTAAATAGACTTATGAGAGACACTAACTGTCACCACAGACTAATATTTAATACAAAATCTGATAATCTCCCAAAAGAAAACTACAAATTAATGCCTGCTTAGAGCCAGAGTTTTATATTGGATTACTCAATTATTCATTTCAAGTACAGTGAATGTTTCAAAAATGCCCATTGCTTTACACTTTGCTTCCATTCTTTTATCTGAAACCGTATGTTAGCACTGTCAAAACAGTTCAGGTCAAGTCTTCACCGAAGATGTGGACGGACCATTGGCCATCTTGAACTCTTCACACAGAAAAGCTCTTAACCAGAGCCACCTACAGATTAAAAGATTTTACTACTCTGCAGTTAGATCTAGTCAAACATGGGTATTTCTAGTTCCATAAAAGTGCCTCACAATTCTTTCTATAATTTGATTGCCCTCCCCTTAAATATCTTTGCAACCATACTTAACTTCATGCATCATAATTAGTTCCACTGGTTTCAGTAACACCACTCCCAGATACATGAAATCAAGTATCTAAATCATTGCAGGACTTTCATTTGTTTTTGTCAAATTACACTGGAACATTGACAGCTGATAGAGATAAACATGCTTACATTACATTACACTCCTTACTTTGTCAAGGGCTGCCTTTTCCAATTCATCCTTTGCAACTGCTAGTTTTTGCTCCAGATCTGTTAGCTGTTGTGCCTGTGGGAAGAAAGAAGAAAAAGCTGATGCAATCTACAATTAATTTTTCCCCCCCTGAATTTTTTCACCTGTCTGTGAAAGAGGGAAGGATATTTTACCGTTTATATATAAAAATTGGGTCAGAATTGCTTGCAAAATGACCAAGCCTCAAAGGATTTTATTTGAAAAAGTGTCTTTTTATGTGGGATGTGGGCTCAAAACTGTTCCACTTAAGTTAATGCAGGTTTATTCTAATTTCAATGTCAGCAGTGAAAGTAATTTTATACTATGAAGTATTTAGAATGCCATAATAGTCTTCTGGAAAATTCAAAGTATTAGCCAGGTTTTATTATTTTGTGCATTTATCTGACTTCTGTTCATAGTTTTAAACACTACATTATATTTTTATGCATTGAGATGCTAACATTAATGGAACTTGTCATAACCAGATAAATTAGAAAACACCCAAACATCCATGCACATAGACTCTGCCTTATGAAAGTTTCTCTCTACCAGTGTACAAGGGGTTAAGTCCAGTTTGTCGCTTTCTTAGGAGCTAGACACACTCAGACTGTGCTCTTTAGAGTAATACATTCTCCACGAGAACTTCCCATTTTATAGAAGCAGGAGCTCCCAGACTCCTGCAGTTCTGAGTCCTGTCATTAAATAGCACATCACTATGCAAGCAAAGGGAACACAGTACAGATTTCTTCTAATGAGCACACTAGTTGTTTTCCATGGAAACCACAGAGAAAGACACTGGACTAACAAGTTATCTTTCCTCTCTGAAATTCCAATTCTGTAATGCACATTTTGGGCACACCACAGCACAACTGGATCAAGTTCTCCTTTCTCAGGTAAGTAACAACACATTTTAAATTTGACCAAATACTTGTAGGCACCCTCAGCATCATCCCATGCTCACCAGCTTTCTGAAGTTCATGCCCAGACAGATAATATTTTCTTGCCAGACTTTTCAAGATCTCATGTGCTCTGCTGACTGCAGTGTAGCTTAATGTACAGCTGTGCACCATTAATGCTGTTTAAAGTAAACCCTGTGAAATGTGGGTAACTCGGTGTCTGTGTTGGGGCAGTGACTGCACTCCCAGCAAGCCGGTAGTCCTCAGCAGATGCCTCAAGTGATGTTTAATAGCATTAGGCATAGGCTATACTGACTGAAAAAACAACAAATGCCTGGAATTTTCAGTTCCCTGCTCATGTAAAGAAATAGTCGCATTTTAAAACACAATTTGTAAAATTTCACTGGACTTATCACTATTTAGACAAAAGCTTAATAACATACAAGAAGTTTTCTAGAGTTTATCAACATCTACATTTGTTACTAAGTACACTAACTAATATCACACACAAATATGGTCCTAGCCAATGTTTGAAAGACTGAACATTAATTTTGGCTTTATCTGAGCGTTCTGATTAGATATTACAACTAGACCAAGTAAATTCTCACATCATTAACTTTTAAAATATTGTTAAATATTTTAACAGTACAGTTACACAAATCAATACATTTTCAATTAATGCAAAGCAAGGTTTGAGAACAGTATCTATAATTAAATAATTTGAATTGCTATTAAAAAGGAAATTATAGAAAATAACATTTACACGATAAACGAGAGGCCAGGATGGCACCTCTGATGGTGTGCATTGCTAGAGGACTAGAATCACATGGAAGATGATGTATTGGCCACATGTTGTAGGCAAGACAACTAGGGAACTTTTCCATTTTTACATTACCAGTTTTTTACGTTACATAGGCATCTGAAAATGTGAGTAACTGATAGAAGTATGTAATGGTGGTTACAGGTGGCTGCTGCTGCTTCCCCTGCAGAATGTCTGGCCCTATGTAATACATTGTACATACCAAAAACCAAAAAATGTTGGAGGAAAAGTGTTCTTTTGACTGCTGCTTGCCATTATAAAAATTAATATATTGTAATAGCACTGCTTACATGAAGGAAAACATTTTCAGTTTAATGAAAACGTATTCTTCAAAGGACAGGCTTATATGTCTTAATAAAGGGTTTCTGAATGCATCATTTGTCAAACCTCATTATTTTTGGTAATATTGTTATATTTAGACAGACTAACATTTTCTGTAAATTTCACATATATTATTTCACAGATCCCTGAGCCAACAGGACAGTGATATGAATCCAACCGACATCAAAAGAGAATAAAATCTTGGCATTAAAAATGCATTTTTAATGAGTCACTCTAATAGAAAGTAGTGATGTGTGTTTGCATCTTAGTCCCAAAGTACAGAATAATCAATTTTTTTGTTTTCTGTACATTTTTGTCTATCACCACCGAATGCATAGTGGAATAGTTTTGTTGCTCCTGTAATTACAAGGTGTTTTTATAGGGAGCCTAGTTCAATTAATGTAGCTTGGATATTGAATAATAATTTAAAAAAAAGGACAAAATACTGTGTAGCACTACACAGGACCAACTCAGATAAGGAATAATGTGCCTTTAAAAAGCACAGACTGGAAAAACTTAAAAATATTGTTTCTCTTTGGCATTATTGAAGAATTAGGTCTTACTGAGGAAACAGCAAGGCAAATAATTTTCTCATCTTCTGGAAGAGCTCTCTGAGCAGTTACTGTCAGTGAAGTTACACTCTTCTAGCTCACTTCAATGTACTTAACTTTATGCATTGTGAAGGACATTATACAAAATGCCCATATTTAAATTCTTCCAGGTATAAATATAAAAAAACCAAAAATTGACATAAGAATCCAAATTGGCATAGAATTTTTTATAATAAGTAGTTGAGAACAGGTAGAATTCCTTCATAAAAAAAAAAAAAGTGAAGACAATGCCTACGTGGCTTTCATACGATGATTTTGAATAGTCAAGAATTTATAAACAACACAGCAATATAATAAAGGTAGTTGTTCCCATTCCTCAAAATCACACAAAGGCAGCAAAACAGGAGGGCAAGAGTAAAATTTTGTAATCTGAAAAACAGTGGCTAGAAGCTTTACACTTCTTAGTCACATCAGAAACAAAATACCATTCACTAGTGGGTTTTTGTGTGCATTTGGAGAGGTTACAGCTTTTGGTAAAACAAAAAAAAAAATCCTTTCAATGATCTTTCTTGGGATAAACATACACACGTACAATGAACATAGAACTACTGGATTATGCATTGTTGATAACAATATGGTACTTTACAAACAAGCTACAAATATAGATCTTATACGTATTCTTTTTTTTTTTCCATTCTTATTTGATTCCTGATCTATTCCATGTTAATAGAAGGATATGAATTCCACCTCCAGAAAAATAAGGGTTAAGTTTCAGGTCAGGTGGATGATGTGGCTGCGCACCTATTACAAACACTGCACACTCAGCAGTGCAGTAAAAAAAAAAAATGGTTTTTAAAAGGCTTTAGCATTTCTTTCCATGAAACTTTATACAACATGTTAATGTGGGATATAAAGTATATAGTGATGGGTTTTACTGTTGTTGTTGGGGTTTTTTTCTGTGGTGGGATTCCCCCTCACCTTATCTCCCAACTTGTAACTCCTTAAAATGTTTAGGGGAGAAAAAAATTATTGTATTCCCTTTCTTACCCTTACCCAAAATTTCAGAGGGTCTGTTTTTTACCAGAAAAGTCTGTGCTATGGCTTCATGATAGAAGGATTGCTCACATATGCAGAGGTAAACAGTCATGACCATGTTTCCTTCACTTCAAGACATAATAAATTGAGATTTAATTTGGTTATTACAATATTTTTAAGGACGTATTTTATTTCATACCAAGGATTGCCATTTATCAAGGACAAAATTATCACACATTCTGCTTAATTAGAAAACATGATTGACCAAGCGATGTTTAATCACACATTAAATACACTGGATATTCTGGTCTCCATTTTTTTTGCTTAGGCTTTAAAAAAATGTTTAAGAAAAAAAAGATAAAATGTTTACCATGCAACTTTTTATTTTATAATTGATTATATTTTCTAACCAGGACAACTTTTTAAATTGGAAATCACTTGACCGGAAACTTGAATAAATTATCTGATAAACATAATTCTACTGTGCTTCTTCTGTAAGCAATATTTCTATCTTAGAAAAACAGAAACTAGTGCTTCTACATTGTACTGTTTACTGTAGCACAAGGTGTCAAATATGAGAATAACACTTTCTGGCAATTATTCCATTTAATCAGACATGCTGCAAAAAAAACAGCCGTTCAGCAACATTTGAATTATATTTCAAGCTCTTACAACAAGAAAAAATCTGAGTTTAAACCATCATTTCTGCAATGTCTCACAGTTTGTACATTTGCTTAATGCTCATTACTGCCACAATACTTTTATCTCTAATTTGTGACTATTCTGGATGTATATTAAAAAAAAAAAAAAAAAAAAAAAAAGACCTTTCGTGGTTTTTTATTAGTTGGAATATCACTTTTCCTTCCCCAACCCCCAGAGCCGTTCCTTCCAATAAAACTCCTTACAAGGACAATAAAACAGCAGTCTTCTAAGTATTGCTTTGGAACAAATACTGAAGTATTCAAAATTGTCTCTGCTAGGAAGAACACCAAATTTGGGACATACATGTCTATGTGCCCCAGGTACTGATTGCCAGAAGCCGAGTTATCTCCCAGGTATCACCCTACAGCATGGCAACGAGGAGCCTAAGGAGCAAGAGAGCACCTGGTTCTGGATTTCCACATGTGCCGGGTGCCATCAGGGACCTGGTGCCCAGGACATCACCTTGGTCACTGCTCTAGCTGCTTTGGTTCCAGAGAAAGCCAATGAGCACAGGCACCATAGCTTGTGCCTGCTCTTTGTTCTCACCATTTGTCATGTTTGTGCCTGACCGTTCCCTCCCTCATTAGTGCATGGAGGCTGACAGCATATCTTGTCCAGACATCCTCAGCATTAAGTGTCTGCAGGTCTAATATTTCAGAAAACGACATTTTTATTGGCAGTTTCTACAGCACCCGTCACTGCAGAACCTTAAATGTAGAAGAAAAATGATTG